TTCCAATCCTCTTCAGACCAAACAGGGGTCTCGGACTGGTAGATGATACTGGTAGACTGTGTGACCTTGGGCTGGTGGCCTTAACCTCTCTGTGCCTCCGTGTTCTCATCTATAAACTAGAGATAATAACCATCTCTGAAGGTGGTTGTGACAAAGAAACGAACTACTATTCTACATAAGAAACCCAGAACAGAGCCTGGAGTAGCCAACATCCAAACTCAGCTTTTCATTGGTCCTTGGAACACATATAAAAATTGATCGCGGGGGTATCTGGGTGGCTCAGGTGGTTAAGCATCTGCCTTTGGCCCAGGTCAGGTCCTGGGATTGAGCCCCACGTCAGGTTCTCTGCTCAGCACGAGTGTCTGCTTCTCCCTCTCCCTCTTTGCCCATTCCCTGCTTGTGCGTGTACTCTCTCTTTCTCTCTCTCAAATAAATAAGATCTTTAAAAAAATAAAAGGAAATGCAATTGAGATGACTAGAGAGCAGTGAGAAAGACTGGCCCCATCAGACGTCAGGAGCTGTAACTTTTACCAAGTTGAGTATGGTAGCATCATTATGCTGGTCTAGCCAGTAGAGCATGTGACTCTTGAACTTGGGGTTGTAGATTCAAGCCCATGACAATTTTAGAGATTACTTACAAAAAGAAAGTCTTGGGGCACCTGAGTGGCTCAGTCATTAAGTGTCTGCTTTTGGCTCAGGTCATGATCCCAGGGTTCTGGGATCAAGCCCTATGTTGGGGTCCCTGCTGGGCTTCCTGCTTCTCCCTCTCCCACTCCCCCTGCTTGTGTTCCTTCTCTCTCACTGTCTCTCTCTTTCCATCAAATAAATAAATAAATATTTTTAAAACATAATAAAATCTTAAAAAAAAAGTACATTTTCATTTATGCGTTTGTCTTTCTCCTTTACTAGACTGATTTTCTGGAAGGCAGGAACTGTGTGTCATTTACTCTGGTACCCACCAACCTGTCTTGCGCTCAACAGTTGCTCACACATTGAATGACTCCTTTCTCTCCTCCTCCAGAGAAATTGTATTTACTGAATAAATTAACTTTTCCTTTATTTTCAAACAGATGATTTGAACAGCTTGTATTTTTCCTTTCTTGTCCATAATATTAGCTTCTTTTTTATTATACAAATACTTGCTCAGCATAAAAAATTTCAAGTAGAATATAGAACGTATAGAAATAGGAGAAAAAAGCAAAAAATTACCTGAGATCCCACTGCCATTAGAAATTTGGTGATTTTCCAGGGCGCCTGGGTGGCGCAGTTGGTTAAGCATCTGACTTTTTGATTTCAGCCCAGGTCATGATCCCAGGACCCTGGGATGGAGCCCTGTGTCCGGCTCCGTACTCTGCAGAGAATCTGCTTCAGGATTCTCTTTCTCCCTCTGCTCCTCCCCCTACTCATCTCTCTTTCTCAAATAAATCTTTTTTTTTTTTTAAGATTTTATTTATTTATTTGACAGGCAGAGATCACAAGTAGGCAGAGAGGCAGGCAGAGAGAGGGGGAAGTAGGCTCCCTGCTAAGCAGAGAGCCCAATGCGGGGCTCGATCCCAGGACCCCAAGATCATGACCTGAGCCAAAGGCAGAGACTTAACCCACTGAGCCACCCAGGCACCCCTCAAATAAATAAATCTTAAAGAAAAAAGAAATTTGGTGTTTTCCTATCAATGCATTTATGTTTATAGTTATATGTTAAAAAAATAGGATTGTCGTAAATTTTTTAAAAGGATGAAGCACACTTTATTTTTATTTAATGTTTTTATTTTTTCTAATTTTTAATTTAAGTTCTAGTTAGTTAACATACAGTGTAATATTAGTTAAGATATTTATTTATTGGGGCACCTGGGCAGCTCAGTGGGTTAAAGCCTCTGCCTTCAGCTCAGGTCATGATCCCGGGGTCCTGGGAAAGAGCCCCACATTGGGCTCTCTGCTCAGCGGGGAGCCTGCTTCCCCCTCTCTCGCTGCCTGCCTCTCTGCCTACTTGTGGTCTCTGTGTGTGAAAAAATAAAAAATCTTTAAAAAATTAAAAAAAAGATATTTATTTATTTATTTATTTATTGAGAATGAGAAATATGTAAAGTATGAGTGCGGGGGTGGGGTGGGTGGGGGGGAAGAGCAGAGGGAGAGAGAATCCTCAAGCAGATTGAGTGCAGGGCCCAGTGCTGGGCTTGATTTCATGACCCTGAGATCATGACCCAAGCAGAAGTCAAGTGTTGGACACTTAACTGACTGAACCACCCCAGGGGTACCAAGATTTTTCTTTTTTAAGTAATCTCGCCACCCAATATGAGGCTCGAATTTACAACCCTGAGATCAAGAGTCATGTGCTCTGAGTCAACCATGCGCCCCACGAAGCACATTTTTTAAAAAAGGGGGGCACCATGGGGCGCCTTGGTGGCTCAGTGGGTTAAAGCCTCTGCCTTCGGCTCAGGTCATGATTCCAGGGTTCTGGGATCCAGCCCCGCATCCGGCTCTCTGCTCAGCAGGGATCCTGCTTCCTCCTCTCTCTCTCTGCCTGCCTCTGCCTACTTGTGATCTCTGTCAAATAAATAAATAAAATCTTTAAAAAAAAAAAGGGGGGGGCGCCTGGGTGGCTCAGCGGGTTAAAGTCTCTGCCTTTGGCTCAGGCCATGATCCCAGGGTCCTGGGATGGAGTCTAGCATTGGGCTCTCCCCCTCTCTCTTTCTCTCTGCCTCCCTCTCTGCCTACTGTGATCTCTGCCAAATTAAAAAAATAAATAAAAAATAAAAATACATTGAGTTCTTAAAACATACTGAACAATGTCCAGGTAACCTGATTCCTCTCCAAGGTCATCACTAATAACATGGGCTGTATACCCTTCTATAGCTTTGTCTATCCTCAGGTAATCAAATGCAGACATGCACATGTGCACATACATGGGGTTTTACAAAAACAAGATCATGGAATATACATTTCTCTGCTTTTCTTATCTAATGACAGCACAGAAGTCCCTCTTGGTATGGATTAACTGATTTTCAAGTCTGCCTAATAATCCTCGTTAGGGATTCCAGTTTGCTGAACCCTTCACTTATTTTTTTTTTTAGATTTATTTATTTATTTGATAGAGACACAGCGAGAGAGGGAACCCAAGCAGGGGGGAGTGGGAGAGGGAGAAGCAGGCTTCTCGCTGAGCAGGGAGCCCAATGTGGGGCTGGATCCCAGGACCCTGGGATCATGACCTGAGCCAAAGGCAGACGCTTAACGACTGAGCCACCCAGGTGCCCCTAACCCTTCACTTATTAAAGGAAACTTACTTTGTTTCAAGATTTTCACTACTACAGAGAGTGCTACAGTAAAGGCAGTAGAAGACCATGAACACATGACATTACGTAATCACATGCCTTGTGTTGGGGCAGATTCCCAGAAGTGGGGCTAATATATTGAAAGGGCTTATTTTTAATTTTTCTTGAAAGGGATAGTTTTAATAGATGACAGAATGCTTTCCAAAAAAGAAATTCTCAGTAGTGTTAGCACATTTGTTGTTTGCTGTTTTGATGGTTATATAAAGAGATTCCTCATGATCACCTTAATTTGCATTTCCCTGCAGAGGGCGGGGGCTGGTGTGGATTCATGTTTTTTTTGCTATTTGGATTTGCTCTTCTGAGACTAGCCTATTCAGTCTTGGCTCATTTTCCATTGTTTTTGTCTTTTTTTCTAACTAGTTTTTAAGACTTCTTTGCATATTAGTTGTTTGGTTTTTTTTTTTTTTTTTTAAGATTTTTGTTTGACAGGCAGAGAGGCAGGCAGAGAGAGAGGTGGAAGCAGGCTCCCCGCTGAGCAGAGAGCCGGATGCGGGACTCGATTCCAGGACCATTCCAAGACGCTGGGATCATAACCTGAGCGGAAGGCAGAGGCTTTAGCCCACTGAGCCACCCAGGCGCCCGCATATTAGCTGTTTATCACGTGTGGCAAGTATAGTTTCCTAATGTGTTACTGTCTGTTGACTTTTATCATACAGTTTATTAATTTTTTTTCTTTTTTAAAGATTTTACTTGACAGAGAGATCATAAGTAGGCAGAGAGGCAGACAGAGAGAGGGGAAAGCAGGCTCCCTGCTGAGCAAAGAGCCCGACGCGGGGCTCGATCCCAGGACCCCGAGACCATGACCCGAACCGAAATGACTGGAACCGAAATGACCCCAACCGAAGGCAGAGGCTCAACCCACTGAGCCACCCAGGGGCCCCTATCATACAGTTTTTAAAAAATATATTTATTTGAGATCGAGCGAGCGAGCATGAGGAGGGGGAGGGTCGGAGGGAGAAGCGACTCAGGGAGCCCAAAGCGGGCCTCGATCCAGATCCCGGGACTCCAGGATCAGGACCTGACTGAAAGCAGTCGCTTAACCAACTGAGCCACCCAGGCCCCCTTATCATACAGTTTAATTTCTTTGGTGATCAAGTGTATCTTTTATTACTCTGTTTCTTGTTTCCCTAAGTCTCTATCTCTAGATGACCCTGGCAGTCGCCTACATAGCATTCTAGGTCTGTTTTATTGTTTAATTCAGGACCCTATACCATTTGTTAGCTCAATTTCTTCTTTACTGAATCTACTTACATATGGGGAATCTATTTCCAGTCTCTATTCCCACAACAAAATCACTGTGTGTCATTATCATGCCTTGTATGTTCCTATTGTCTGAAAAGCAAGTTCCTCTTCAACCTCGTTTACAAGTTTCCCCACTATTTTCAAAATTATATGATTTTAAGATGATGTAATCAACCCCCAACCAGTTGATTTTAATGGAAATGCAATGTATTTGTAAATTAATGTTGGAATTGACTTTATATTGTTTTCTGCCTAAGATTACGTATTCTTCTCCAGGCTCAGATATTGCTTTGATCCTTCACAAAGACTGTTTTACACCTTTTACTTTTTCTTCTTTTTTTTTTTTTTAAAGAAAACAGGAAGTCCCTTTTTACCGGCGGCGCGTCAACGGATCCGGTTTACGGACGCGCGCCGGCCCCTCCCCCGTCCCTCGGTTCCGGGTTACCATGGGAATCGAGAATTGACGTCACTTAGGGCTTCCGCGCCATACCCCGCTGTCGACCCAGAAGCGAAGGGCGGAGAGGAAGCTTTGACCCGTCTACGCATGCGCGCCCTACTCCACTCATCCCCGGCGGCAAATCTCGTTCGGCCTGGGTACCGCCGCGACCTCTCGCTAAATCCCAGCGAAACTGCTCCCCGTGGGAGGGGAGTAGAGAAAAAAAATCGACCAAGCGACAGCCAATCCCATGACACTACGACGCAACCGCGAATGATGGACTCAACCAGCGTTAGCCAATGAGAAAGCCCGTTGCTTCCACGTCACAGTTTGCCCCACCCTATCCCCCTCCTTTCTGGACTCCGAGCTCAGTTCGCGCAGTAACAAATGAAGTGCGCGCAGCGCCGCCTCCGAACTCGCCAGGCTCGGCCGCCATTTCTTCGCCTGGCCTAACGGTCCGGCCAATCCCAGCGTACATCGAGGAGGGCTAAGGCTCCACCAATCGCAGGCCGCCGATTCCGACCCCCTTGCCTCGGCTCGGCCCAATCCAGGCCTCGGACCCGTCGCCCCCGGCCCGCCCCCGCGGCGCCCTCTCTCCTCCCTCTTTGTGCGTCTCGCGCCGCCGCCGCCCGCCGCGTGAGAGGACGGGCTCGGCGCGCTCCGCGGCAGCGCAGTCGGGTCCCCTCCCCCCGGAAGGTTCGCGAAGAAGAAGCCGCCGCCGCCTAAAAGGAGCCGCCGGTGCCGGTCCCCGGGGGCGCCATGGCGACCGGAGCGAACGCCACGCCGCTGGGTAAGCTGGGCCCCCCCGGCCTCCCCCCCCCTTTCCGGGCCCAAAGGGGGCTTCGAGCCGGGGCCACCGCCTGCTCCCGGGCCTGGGGCGGGGCTGCTGGTGCCCGGGCCGCCGCCACCCCCGCCCGTGGGCGCGGTGGGGGCCTTGACCGCGGCCTTCCCCTTCGCGGCGCTGCCGCCGCCGCCACCGCCGCCGCCCCCGCCTCCCCAGCAGCCGCCGCCGCCGCCGCCCTCCCCGGGCTCCTCGTACCCGCCGCCGCAGCCTCCCCCTCCGCCGCCGCTCTACCAGCGCGTGTCGCCGCCGCAGCCGCCGCCACCCCAGCCGCCCCGTCAGGACCAGCAGCCGGGCCCGGCCGGCGGCGGAGGAGGTGAGTCGGGCCGAGAGAGCGCGAGAGGCGTCGCGCGGACGGGCCCGGCCGCCTGAGGGGTGCGCGGCGGCGGCGACGGCGGCTGCACGCGGCAGGGGCGCGCGCGCGCACGGGGAGGCCCCGGGCGGAGGCGCCACGGGGCGCGCGGCCCGCTTCTCGGGCCCCGAGTGCGCACGCGCGCTGGAATGGGGGTGGGGTGGGTAGAGAGCGGAGGCGCAGGCGCAGTGTGGCGGCCGCGCTTTGTGGCCCGACTCTAATTTGGCGGGGGTCTGTGTGGCTCTCTGGACCTTGGTATAGGAGAGGGGTGTTGAGTGGATTGACTCGGTGGACGGGTGGTGGGTGTGCATGTCAGGAGGGCGTGAAGGGGTCTACTGATGACGTGGAGCACTTTCTTCCTGTTTCTAGATAAGTTCAAAAGGCAGAAAAGTAGCAACTGTAGCTTTTTTCCCCCTATAGTAAGGCAAGGTTTTCACTACGGTGAAGGAAAGAGATAAAAAATTCTCAGGTCGTGGTTGGGTCCGATGCACTTCTGGAGGAAGGAATTTTTTTCCTTATCTCCATTTATCTTAGAGAAGTCTGATAAGCCTTCTCTTGTTGGGGCTTTGGGGGGGGGGTTAGAACTGACTTGGGTACCAGAATGTGTAGGGAGTTTATGCCTCTGATTCGGAGGAGACTTTCGCTGCTATTGTCTACATTTCTTTGTCGGATTTTTGATACATTCCCTAGGAGTTCAGATGTTAATTGTCTAGTTGGCCAGGAAAATTGAATCCTTATCTTGGCTAAATTTCTGAAGAAAAAAAGTGATCTTGTTGAAGAACTGGGCTTTTTCACTTAGTAAATCATAGGTTTGGTTGTGTTCTGGCCCATTTGGAATGGTGACTGGTGGGGAGCGGAGGTGAGAAGGAACAGCAATTTCCTGGGTCTTGCTTTACCAAGGTCTGATTATTCCATATACCTTGTCTCCCCTGGGGCTTTTCACACAATCATGGTTAATGTCACGTATCTGAAACTTCAGGCATGAAGATGTATTTGCTTGTTCACATACTTTGCAGTTTTCTTGGATATGTATCATAAATGTGAAATGTTACCTTTTCGGATCCAGAACCAGGTAGCTTTGTGGTGGCCGTTTGTCTCTGACTTCTCCAGTTTGTGTTCATTTTTTGCCATTTACGTTTTAGGTCAAGTTCTCATTTTCCCAGTCTGCGGACGTTGTGTCTAGTACCATAAGTATCCTCAACTGCCTGTTGGTAGTTAATTTGCTGGTTTATATTTGCATTTGATGGACTTTATCTGCCTTTAGACTTCCCAAGTAAGAAGCGAAAGAGGAGCCGCTGGAACCAAGATACCATGGAACAGAAGACAGTGATTCCAGGAATGCCGACAGTCATCCCGCCTGGACTTACTCGGGAACAAGAAAGAGCTTATATAGGTAAATACACGTTCTGCATCCAAATACGTTTTCAGATGGTTAATGGTTTATTCTGAGCAACGTTTAATGTGTCTTAAGTTTGAGACCTTAAAGTCTTGTTCTTTTAAGATGAGGTATGGTCAGGTGTAATTTCACGACTGTGACATAACCCATGAGTTTTTACTCTCTTAAGTCCTGCATTTCAAGCTCCTTGTTCTGGTCTGTTCCATAATAGCAGTGTTCTCCATGAGTGCCAGGAAGGTAGAGGGACCCGCTTAGTGAGGGCAGTCCCCAGTCTAGCACCCCACCCCACCTGCCCTTTTCAGCTGCTGCTCATTGCCAGTTGGTGAGGTGAGTGTCTTCTTCCTCTCTGGACACGGCCCCAGTGGAGAACACTGCAGGTATTATAATTAAGTACCTTTTTCACAGCATGGCCTTTCACCATTTTACATTCCTCCCTCCCCTTCAAATGTGGTCTTTTACTTTTTATAGGTACTTTCTGAAAAGAAAAACTCAGTTTAATCAAAGAGTGGTCCTGAAAGTGTTGAACAGTGCACCCTTTTTTACCATTTTGTTGAATTTAACCTTTCCTTCAGCATCTTTTCTGGTTTGGTCTTTGGAGAGCTGTCTTAAAACGAGGGCTCTTTTACTATTTATTGTCAAAGAACTCCGCTGGGAAAGGGGTACTATTTGGATATGGAATGAGTGGTAGGATAAAGGATCTTAACTGTTGCGATATTTCAAGAATTAACGATAATTGTCCACAGTGTAAATGAAGTTAACCTCAAAATTACCTTTTTTTTTTTTTTTTTGAATACAAGGTTTTTAATGCAAGTTTCACCTTTATTCATGTATCTGCAGCTGTCTCCAAAAAGTTCACTTGATAAACATTTTCTCCTAACTAAATAAACAACCCCTTTGGAGTAAATTAGGGCAAAGGCCGCCTAGGCCTCTGAGGCTGTATCCTTCACAGATAAAAAGCTTCAAGGCTGGCATGTGCTCTTGAGGATCGTATTGCTGAGAGTTTTTGAGGTGTTGGGATGGTTTATGTTGTTTTCATAGTACTAATATTTTTTCTTTCCCCGCTGTTCCAATTTACTTCCACCCACTCCCTTGTCTCATTAGATTGACCTGGGTCTTTACAACCTTGTGGAAATGTCCTTAGTGGAATGACATTCCAAGAACACAAGCAGACTTAGGGGGCAAAACAGACTTACTCTAGGTCTCCAGTCCTCTTCCTGTGCAGGGAGTTAATGTACTGAGCCCTGAGGGTATCTCTAGCTATAAGCCAAAGTGGAAAGAGCCAAAGGCCAGTGTAGATCTCAGATCCAAGAACGAATGATCCCTTTGATTTAAGTACCAGCTATTTCCTCGGGTCAGACCCCACACCCCTACAGTTCATGCCTGCCACCATGAAGCTGACTTCCACCTTGAGTTCTTGACCTTAGTACTTACTGCCAAGTCAGAAATTTTCTGGCATAGAAGAGGTTAGTGAGCCATGTATCTTAATTCTTCTGCCTCTCACGGTACACACTGCTTTGTACAACACCCCCAGTATCTTCTCTTGATGTGAATGTGGGTTTCCAGTTCTTTGGAGTGGAATGGTGTGTGGTACAGCCCTGTGGGATATATTTAAAGTTAGAAGGCTGTCTGGGGTTAGACTTGCAGTCATCCTATTTTGGAGCCAGCTCAGCTTTAACCCAACCCAGTAAGACTTGCCCTCACTAGAGGTGCCTGCTCACAACTCTCAGATGCCGCAAAGGTAAGAAAACAGGTGGTTCTTCAGCGCGCTGAAGGCCGTGATCTGGCTGTACAGTTGCCAATATCTTAAGTCACCAGGGTAGCGTTTCCCTGGAGTCACTGAACTTTGGTGAAACCCTCTCTCTCTCTCACAGTCAGCCTCCTTTTGTCAAGGTCCGAGGGCCACACACACTGCCCTTGACCCGCACTTGATATTTTCTACATCCCTTACTTTTACTCCCCTCGTGAGGAGCAAGTCTGAGAACAGACTTCTTAACATTTCACGGTTACTGGTTTATTAAGGTATATGGATTGTCACCTCAGACTGGAATAAAAGCAACAGGTATCGGGAGATCCTTGATAATATGGATCTGGTTGTACAGAAAGAGTATGTATAACGGGCTTTTGAAGAGGTGTCGAACTGGTTATTAAATGTCTTACGTGTTTAAGGAATTTTGAACCTGGTATCAATGAAAATGATCTTTGCTCAGCTGGTATTTTTCCTTGTCCCATGTTAATTGGGTTTCATTTGGGGCTGTGCCTAATATTTAATGAAGAAAAATAAACTCTCAAGAGTCTTGCCCTCAAAGTAATTTGGTTGGGAACAGGGTGTTGGTGATGATATACATGGTCTGTTCTGGGTGCCAATTGTCTAGCGAAGCCTTGGCGGGGCGGGAGAGGTGAGACTCCTGGTAACTGCTTTGATGTTAGCCTTAGGGGACAGTCTATACCGCTAACCCCTCTTCCAGCAAACTGTTTGCTTCCTTAAGTGATAACCATTTTGAAGTGAAAAATCCCAGTAGATGTAAGTGGACTCCTGCCGGTAGGTGGCTGGGGGTTGCCTCAGTGTGTTCACTGATCAATCGTCCCTTTCAAAGTCTCCGAGTTCTTCATGCTTGTTGTTGTGATTTGAGATGTTTTTTGGTAACATTGTCTTTTTTCCATCCTTTTTTTTTCTTTCCTAACCTGGTTTCTTCCAGTGCAACTGCAGATAGAAGACCTGACTCGTAAACTGCGCACAGGAGACCTGGGCATCCCCCCTAACCCTGAGGACAGGTTGGGAAACAGTTTTAACCAGCTGACAGTAACGCTTTTACCTTTTTCTCAATACGTTTTACTGGTGGCAACATATTGTGTCAGTTCAATGAAATCCTAGTGAGTCGACTGGTAATACTCTGACCATTCTGGGGCCTAGGGTTTGATTAGCAATCTGTATGGTCAGGGGTCAGTTAGAGAATTGGAGTGGAACTTAATTACTAGCAGAATAAAAAGTTACGGGAAAATGGACACCTGGTTTCCAGTTGGTAAGCATATGCAGATGTTCACCTGACTTACCCGCCCGTAGGGACAGTGAGGTGGCCCGTTAACCAGCCTTTTCAGTAACTGCTTGGTTGAAAGCCGAGAGGGGGTAGAGCTTTTCTCACAGGTACACGGGTGCAGGGATTAAGAATACTTTTTGAGCATCACTGAGTTTGAGCAGACCAGAAGCTCGGTCTGGTTAGCTCTTTGCTTCAGTCTCCTGCTCCTGGTTTTGAGATGGTTTTAAAGTAGATGAGATTTCTAACCAGCTTCCTTCACTGCCAGTGAATTTTCCTGCCTCGGCCTTTGCCTGGGGGTATTGGGAGGGGCCAGAATATTCTCGCCTGTTTTGGGAAGGCTAGCAACCAACCCAAATCACTTTTTTTTTTTTTTTTTTTTTTTTTTTTTAAAAGAGTGTGGTCTTCAAACAACTATGGTCACATCCTTTCAGTTTATCATTTCTCTCACCTTTGAAAAGGAAAAAATCTGAGGAAAATGAACTTTTTAGCCAGGAATTAGCTGGTTGAACTTTGAACAGCTAAAATCTGGTCCATTTCATGAGGGCAGTATGCCTCCCTCTCTGTGAAATTGCTTTTAATGCATGCAGCATAATTGAAAACATTTTCACTTTAGAAAGTAGTGTTTTTAGCTTTTATTACCCAGTTAATGGCGTGTTAAATCAGGAAGATGATGTAATGGTTTTAGAAGCCACACACTTATGCATCTTTCTGCTGCCCTTTGCAGGGAACAAATTAACTTAATCTCTCCGTATGGGCTCTTTAATTTTACTTAATGAAATTTAGTAATTTTTTTACCTGTAGATTTCGGTTGGAGGGATGTGTTGTGTTTTATAAATACTTTTTTTTTTTTTTTTAATTTTTTTTTCCCAAAGATTTGCATTGTAGGTTGTAGACCACAACTGTATAGTGCTTTTTTGGCCTTTTTCCCTTTAATAATAATGTCTAACAGGTTACCAGGCAATTCTCAAAAGGTTGAATTTTTAACAAACCTTTGCTTCCCGGAGAAACAGGATTAGAGTTTAGTTGATATATATGATTTGAAGTGAAGAAGTTGGGCCAATCTAACCTCTAGAATATTAGCTTTTGCCTTTTCACATCAACAATTTGGGAAGAGATTAAACTGTTTTGTGAGGCTTTTAAATGACCAATTTGGTACTGGTAAACCTTGTTTTGTTGATTAGCCAGAAATGCTTAATTCTAGACAGCTACGGGGTGGGAATTAGAAATGTCAGTCATGCCAGAAATAAAACCAGAGCAGTTTTTTTTCTCCCTGTATTCAGTTTGAAAGAGGGCCTAATGCCTGATTGGTTTTGCTTTTGAGCCCAGGTTGGAGGGAACTGCATGAGTTTCGTACCTTTACTAAGGTTATTTCCTAAGAAGGTGTATTCTCAGTACTAAGCCACTATGCTATTTTGATGTTGCTTAAGTTGCACAGTTAAAAATGTTATGAAAATACCTTGTAGACTTAAATGTATAAGATGATAGTCTAATGATCTAATGAGCTGGGGTACCTTTGTTTTTGTTCACTATTATTGGATTGTGTTAACAGTTTATATAAATGCTAGAAACGGAGGTGTCATTTAGCCGTCATTAGCCATGAACAAACCTGACCTTTTATTCCATCGTGTGTGTAACGTGGTATGACATGGTTCCCTTTAGGCTGAAGACAGTGGGAGCAGCCGAGTTCAGTCCTTGCTCTCCAACTAGGCAAGGTTCTCTCAACTAAACCAAGGGTATAGGAGTCTTGACTACTTTCAGGATGTTTTTTTTAATAACCTGATCCACATGGTCTCTTCCCTTCTTGCAGCTGCTACTAAATTTTCATTCAGAATATCAAGCTATGGTCCTTTTTGTAATCTCAACTCAGAATTCTAGGAGTGTAACTTCTCTTTTTTTATTACCGCAAAATCCAGCTGTGGTAAACTGACCATTTTATCATTACTATTTTTTACTTGTAGCAACAGCATTTTACTCCTTAAAAAAATGAGAGAGAGAAAATCTGCTTTCTGGACTTGTAAACATTGGTGGAGAATCCTAGGTTTTCCCCTTGCCGTTTGCAGGTCCAGACCCTAGACAAGTACTTGACCAAATCTGCATTTGCAGCCTCTAGCAGAAGCTGCTTTAGCACGTTAACGTTTTTCTCTACCCAGACTCCCCAACCTCGAACAGCCAGAAAACAGGTTGACTCCTGGGCCTTGGACACAGCCAGCCAGGCCATTGAAGGAAAAGCAGAGACGAAGCCTTGAACCATCTCTCTCCATTGTGGGGCCAAGTAGCTGCAGCAGCCTTGAGTCCCAGTGGCATTGGGTTAAAGAGCTCATCCTTACTCTGCGGCAGGGGTGCAGACACTCTTCCTGATAGGGCACGAGCTCTGCAAGAGTTCGCATTTTACCTGAACTTGGGGTTTCCGTGGTTCATGAAGTTGTAATACTGTATAGTTTTTTTAAAATGAAAAATTCATATTTGGCAAGAAGACTCCAGAGGATGATACTGTCCTTGCCATCTACAGTCCAGATATTTTCCCCCAGAGGGGCAGACTTTTTTCTTCTCAACACTTAGAAGCAAGACCTTTTTTTTTTCCTTTCTTACACACACCCCAGTCCCCCAAATGCTAAGCCAGCTTTCATCTCCCCATTCCACACGATCTTGAGTAGCACACGTTATGGTCGGTTCCTCCGAAGAGTGTTGTGTTAGGGTCTGAGAGGCAGAGGGGCTGGGGAAGACTAATTTTAGCCCATGTGGGATGAGAAAAGTGAAGGCAGAGCAGTAACGGTGGTCTGTTTCCCACAGGTCCCCTTCCCCTGAGCCCATCTACAATAGTGAGGGGAAGCGGCTTAACACCCGCGAGTTCCGCACCCGCAAAAAGCTTGAAGAGGAGCGACACAACCTCATCACTGAGATGGTTGCCCTCAACCCTGATTTCAAGCCACCTGCAGATTACAAGTAAGCAGAGGGGCTGGGTTGTCCAGGCCAAGGATTGGTACAGGTCACATGTCATCTGTACAAGTAGAACTGTTTTGGTAGTAATGTCGCACCTCTTAACCTCAAATCATGTATGGTTAATACGTGGTAGCAAGGTTGGTTCTGGAAGAGCTCTGGGTTGTTTGTGTCCTCTGGAAAATATGCAGAGTCTATGAGTCTTGTCTTTTTTAGACCTCCAGCAACACGGGTGAGCGATAAAGTAATGATTCCACAAGATGAATATCCAGAAATCAACTTTGTGGGGCTGCTGATTGGGCCCAGGTGAGTAACTGCTACCCTATGGGATACTGATTTCTAAGAAACTATGACAGGTATCCGTCTTAGGCCCAGCTGGGTGCCATTGATGGCTTATCTTCCTGTTTTTGGTGGGTGTTCACACTTTTCTGTGAGAAAATCTCTTTGATCCCGTTTTACTACAGAGAGCTCAAATCTTGAGGATTGGTGTGGCTGCCCTTAGAGATCACGGAGCTCTTGGTGGGAAACCCCAACTTTCTGCACTCACGGTTTCCTGCTAGTGTGACCAGCCTGTTCTGTCCCCTCCGGCATGTGAACTTGCTGGTCAAGTCTGTCCACTCATTTTTTTCTGCCCCTGATAGAGGGAACACCTTGAAAAACATAGAGAAGGAGTGTAATGCCAAGATCATGATCCGAGGGAAAGGGTCTGTCAAAGAAGGGAAAGTTGGCCGAAAGGATGGCCAGATGCTGCCTGGAGAAGATGAGCCACTTCATGCCCTGGTTACTGCCAACACCATGGAGAATGTGAAGAAAGCTGTGGAGCAGGTGAGGCAGCCACAGAGGGAGCCTCTTCCTAGGAACCTAGCGATGGTCCCAGCGCTTTACGTAACTGCCCATTGCATCTCTACTAGATAAGAAACATCCTGAAGCAGGGTATCGAGACCCCTGAGGACCAGAATGATCTACGGAAGATGCAGCTTCGGGAGTTGGCTCGCTTGAATGGGACCCTTCGGGAAGATGATAACAGGTGTGTGATTGGTTTGAAGTAGACAGAGTGAAAACCTGAAGAACTTGTGGAAGGAGGAAGCTTGGCCATAGCCCTTGAGGTGACTTTTTCACCCCCTTTTCTGTGACAGAATCTTAAGACCGTGGCAGAGCTCAGAGACACGCAGCATTACCAACACCACAGTGTGTACCAAGTGTGGAGGGGCTGGACACATTGCTTCGGATTGCAAATTCCAAAGGTGAGGGCCTGGGCTTGTGGCTTCTTTGTAGCCCGTGGTGCTCAAGACATTTCTTGAGCGTGTCAGTTGGTTGCTGTTAACTTTTGGACCCGAGAGCAGCTTGCTTTCTGTGAGTGTGGTCTGTAATAGAGTGATGTTAAAGCCGAGGGTGACTAGAAGCAGCTTGTGCGTATTTTGTGGCTCATGTTGAGTTCAGGAAAACTAGAAATTTCCATCCTGAGTATAAATGTGTCCATTGGGGCTCATATTAACTATCTTTTGCTGCTTAGGATTGGTTTCAGAAGCCATCTGAATTTTGGACCATTTTTGAACCAGCCCTTGATAGCAACATTTTTTTTTTGCTTTTTTCTCTCTTGGGAAACCTGGCAGGTGCTCCAGTCTTGCATAGACTTTTCTGCCCTCAAACTGGGAATGTAGGGTTTGATGAAAGCTTCCTCTTTGGAAGAGCCTGTGCTTCCCTGGCTCGTGTGGCTGGCAGGGTGCGCTCAGTCTTCTCTGTTGTGACGGGAATCCACGTGGTCTCCCAGATGCAGAGCTGGGCATGGAACTGAGGACTTAACTATATTGAGGAACAGTTAAAAAGGATGATTGAATTTCTCAAAACTCCTTGTCAGTTCTTCAGGATAGAACTTTCCTTCTTAATAATGAATTTTTTTTTTCTCCCTCCTCTCTCTCTTGCGTTCCTTATCCCACTTTCAGGCCTGGTGACCCCCAGTCAGCTCAGGATAAAGCACGGATGGATAAAGAATATTTGTCCCTCATGGCCGAACTGGGCGAAGCGCCCGTGCCAGCATCTGTGGGCTCCTCCTCTGGGCCCGCCACTACGCCCCTGGCCAGTGCACCTCGGCCTGCTGCTCCTGCCAACAACCCACCGCCTCCGGTGAGTTTTGGGGCTGGTTCTTAGGGTCTGGCCCCCCCCCCCATTCTCTTCCGCAGAGATTGGGGGCCGTGGCCAGGTGCTTTGGGTAGAGCACACTGACAGACATGGCTGGCAACATTGTTCTTCCGGGTGTCAGGATGTTCAGGGATCTTTCACTTTAGGAAGATCCTGTCCTTGCGTGTTTCCTGGTCCTCTTGGCACAGCCGGAAGGGCAGTGTTGCCACCAGGGGGAGCAGGCTGGGACGTCGGCGGGAAATGCTCTCACATAGTCTCTCATGTCCACCACCCAGAGCCGCCCACCTTGGATGAATTCCGGTCCTTCAGAAAGTCGGCCCTACCATGGCATGCACGGAGGTGGTCCTGGTGGGCCTGGAGGTGGCCCCCACAGCTTCCCACACCCGTTACCCAGCCTGACAGGTGGGCACGGTGGACATCCCATGCAGCACAACCCTAACGGACCCCCACCCCCTTGGATGCAGCCGCCTCCGCCGCCGATGAACCAGGGCCCCCACCCACCTGGGCATCATGGCCCTCCTCCAATGGGTAAGTAAGTGTCAGACCAGAAACCTTGGGGCTTTGGGATAAGCAAGGGTGATACCTGGTTGCTGTGAACCGGAAGCAGCTCCCACAGTGGCTGGGTATTGCACCAGGTCTCTTGCCAAGGCTGGGGCTCCAGAAGGAGCAAGACTTCTTCGTGACTTAGGAAGTGGTTTCTGTGTGGGGTAGACACCGGCCTCCCTCTTAAAGGCAGGGTTCCAGAACCGTTCATACTAGGGTATTGTATGGTTTCAAGCTGTGTGATCCGAATCAGCTGTCGGTGGGGGCATCTTTCCCGGCCAGTTCATATGTCCTGCTAAGTCCCTGCTCTTTCCTTCCATCAAGATCAGTACCTGGGAAGTACGCCTGTGGGCTCTGGGGTCTATCGCCTGCATCAAGGAAAAGGTAATGCCGCCTGTCACCTGCTCACTCTGGGCTCTGCACTGCGCCCGGGAGTGGGGTCTCTCTGGCCCGGGTCCCTCTCCCCTGCCTCTTCCCCCTCAGGCCTCAACCTTGCCTCTGCCCACCTGCAGGTATGATGCCGCCGCCGCCTATGGGCATGATGCCGCCGCCGCCGCCGCCTCCCAGTGGGCAGCCCCCGCCCCCTCCCTCTGGTCCTCTTCCCCCATGGCAGCAGCAGCAGCAGCAGCCTCCGCCACCCCCTCCGCCCAGCAGCAGTATGGCTTCCAGTACCCCCTTGCCATGGCAGCAAAGTGAGTGCACTATTTTGGGCCTGTGGGGGTGGGCGGGATGGGGGGGTGGGGCTGAGAGGAGCAGGAGCGAGCACCTCACTGGCGCCGGGAGGCAGGCAGACACCCAGGGAGGAGCGCTGCTCTCTGCCCGCGGTGTAAACAGAAAGGGCCTTGTGGCCCCTGGGGGTCTGGGGGAGGAGAGCTGATGTTTGGCGTGGTTGTGTCTGGGGAGTGGTTTTGGGGGACCTGGAGGGACCCTGCCACTGTAGGTGGGGTGCCAGAAGTGCAGGCTCGCACCGGCTGGGCAGCTCGGCTGGGCTGCAGGAGCTGCCGGCCGCCGGCTTCTGGCCGCCCCGAGCCTGTGTGGAAGGCCTGGGTGGGGAGGGCGCTTGCATGCTGCGGAGAGGGATGTGACTGGGGCCTGAGAGACTGCAGGGATGGGAGTGGGCTGTGGGGGGAGTAGCTGTGGCCTTGAGGTTGAATGTGCCGTTCGGTGGTGGCGGCGGATGGGCGGAGGGATGTCAGAGCCGGTTCTTGTGTCTGGTACCTTCCCCTCAGCCCTTCCAGGGGCACTGGTGACAAAGGGCTTACTCTGCTAAGCCCAGAGACCTCGAGGCTGACCCCAGGGTAGTCCTGCCCACCCCTCCACTCCCCATCACCAGGACAGCCCCGCCCGCCCGCCCCCCACCACCGTACCGCATGCCAAGCAAGGAGCAGGCGCCCCTCGCCCCCCCATCCCAAGGCAGCCGCCGCAGAGAGCCGCGGTGTGCCCCCGCGCGTGTGACCTTGGGCTTCTTTACCACCCCAGATACGACGACTACCACCACGAGCGCTGGCACAGGGTCCATCCCGCCATGGCAACAGCAGCAGGCGGCTGCCGCAGCTTCTCCAGGAGCCCCTCAGATGCAAGGCAACCCCACTATGGTGCCCCTGCCCCCCGGGGTCCAGCCGCCTCTGCCGCCCGGGGCCCCTCCCCCTCCGCCGCCTCCGCCGCCTGGTTCCGCCGGCATGATGTATGCCCCGCCCCCTCCTCCTCCGCCTCCCATGGACCCTTCTAACTTTGTCACCATGATGGGCATGGGGGTGGCGGGCATGCCGCCCTTCGGGATGCCTCCAGCTCCCCCACCGCCTCCACCACAGAACTAGACTCGGTTTTTTAAGAAAATATATATTATATATAGAGAGAATTGGTCTCGTTTAAACACACGCCGAACCTCACCATATGGAGCCAGACATTGGGATGCACGCATGTGATTTGTGTGCACGCATGTGTGTGTGTGCACGCACCGGGCTGGGCCAAGCGACTGAGGACTCGCTTGGGAACGGGCAGGTGGTAGTAGGGGCGCCAGCTTGGGCTCTCCTGGCGCCCCGTAGCATCGAGTGTCTTCTTTGTCTTCTTTCTCTCCTCACCCAACTCCCTTTGCCTCTCCCCAAACCGGGCCGCCAGGATCCCTCCCCGCAGCGGCGATGGCCCGAGCCATGAGAGTGAGGACTTTCCGCGCCCATTGGTGACCCTTCCAGGCAGACAGCCTCAGCAGCGCCCCTGGTGGACAGGATGGTTCGGCAAAGCAGCCTGAGTTATTTTTGTGGATGGAATCGGAACACGCTGGCTCCATATCGTGAAATTTTTATTAATTTTTTTCTTTTTCCTTTGTTGTTTCCTTATCTCTTCCTTTCTTCAGACTCCGTCCAAGGAGATGCTCTTCCCCGATCTTCTGCTGCAATTAGATTCCTTTCCTTTTTCTCCATTCCTTGTTCTTCTCTTCCCAAGGAGAGGAGGGAGCAAATGGTTTTAGGCGCAAGCTTTGGCCATTAATGTCAGTCTGTTTGGGGCGGGGAGAAGGTCCTTTGGTTCTAAGATTTTCAAGGTTGCCATGACCACCCCAGAGTTGTTGGTTTTTTTGTTTTTTTGTTTTTTTGTAGTGTAACATTTTGTCTTTGCCACCTTTATAGGGTAGTGGGTTAATTTCCAGGTCTGGGGCCGAAACCCATCCTGGCACCCCTGCCAGTGATAGGTGGGGCCGCCTAAGCCACTTCAGGCTTGTCTGCCATCCTGGAGAGTCCTCTCTGTGCTCCCTGAGCACCTGAGCTGCCTCAGATTCCATTTGTTTTTCTCCTTCCTGGAAGGTTTCCTTTCAAATTTTATTTTAATCCCAAACATCTGAATGTTTTGCAGTGTCTAGGGGTTCGAGCCCCTTGTTTTTCGTTCTGCTTTTTTCTTCCCTTCCCTCTTCGTGGAGTGATTATGTTGACAAGAATGTATAATGCGCGTTCTCCTCACTGGTTTATCTGCAGAAATTTCTCTGGGCTTTTTTTTCGGTGTATGATTCAACACTGCGTTAAAGGGGGATGTTCCATTGAATAAAAGAGCAGTGTGGTTTTCTGGGTCTGTTTCTTTATTTTCTTTTCTCATCAAACCTGTACCACAGCAGCAGCTCGAGTTGCCTCCCCTGCCTGCATTCACCCGGCCTCAGCCATCCGTTCTCTCTGGGGCCGGGGACGTTCATCAAGGAGCCTCCCGCCTGCGTCCCTGTGTGTGGCTTTGCTCGGTGGCAGCCGAGTGTGTGGGTGGTCCCACCATCTCCACCTTGTTTACTAGTAAGTTCACAGCTGAGAACTGGGTTCCTCACAACCACCCACCCCCATCACTACTCTATCCCCTGGTCCCTGTTGTTCTGAAGGCCTTTTCCTGGGGCTTAGACCCCCCACATCCGCTGAGCTCTGGTTGCCATCTCTGTCTGGAAGCTGCCACGTGACGAAGGCCCTGAGCCTAGGGCGGCATCAGCACTAAAGGTCAGGCCAACTGATCCTGCCTGCCAGGCACAGAGCAGCTAAAATTAAAACCGCCAAGTGGCTTTTTCTTTTCCTGCTGGTGACTTGCAGCCTACCGGCCCTGCGGGCTTTGGGGATGGGTGGGGGCAAAGATACCAGCCCCGCAGGCTTTGGGGATGGGTGGGGGCAGAGAAGAAAGTGCCCGGACTTGTGCTTTGTAAGTGCTGCTTTGCGGAGGGTCTCAGGCTGTTGGGTTCTTTCACGTCTGGGGCAGTGCCGGTTCTGGCACCCGAAAAATCCACGTCAGGGTTCCAGGAGGCATGAGGTCCTGACCCAGCGGTTGCTGTGCTGCTCCTTCCCTGGGGAGAGCCACGCTGAGCCTGCCCTTCCCCTGGGGAAGGTTTCCTTCCTTTGGGGAGGTTAAGGGAGAGCAAGTTCCTGCCGTCCCCAGTATCTGGCCAGTGGGGCCAACTCTGGCCTGGGCTGCTTTCCATCTTCAGGTGGGGTCTGACCACTGCTGTGTCTGGAGCCGAAGCCAGCTGTGTGGGCGGGGTCCCAGATGTCTGTCCTGCTCAGTGGGTTTCCCAAACCAAGCCCGAAACTTCAGTTGACTAAAAGAAGAGAATGATCTTTTCTCTTCGTCCGTAACTGATGGGATGGGGGCAGGGCCAGGGGCCTAGCAACCCTCTTTGACCTTGGCTTCACCTCATTGCTTCCCCCACAAGCTCGGTTTCCCTGGTGGGCTCATTGGGCGGTTAATTAGCTCTTTGAAGCTCTGGAAGAGGCAAAGTGGCGCTATGTGGGTTTTAGAAATAAAATCAATAAATGACTTAACCACAACCCAGCTATCTCCTCTGTCTCTCTCCCCTGGGGCCAGCTCCATTCCTGCGCTAGCTCCCTCCCTGCTCCCTGCAGTCAGCTTTTGTTAAGGTTTTGGAGAGTAACAAAGTGGCTAACTAAGGCGCCCATCTCAGGCCTTTCTCCAAGCAGCTCCAGGCCCTGGGATGGAAGAGAGACAGCAGGAAGGCTTCGTCCTCAAGTGCCTGGAGCACCTGCCTTTGTGGCCGAGTTGGGGGAGAGGAGAAACACTTTCCCACCCGCCTTGAGACGCTTGGGGTGGAGGAAGAAACCTTTGCTCAACCATGACTGTTCCTGTGCTCCACAGCACTGGCTCCCTGCCCCCAAGCTTGCTTGGTGAAAGGAATACCAGTTGGGAAAGGTCAGCATTAGGGCTCCGGAGAAACCCAAGATTGGTCCGGAGAAGGAGGCAGGATTTCTGGTCAGAAATAGTGAGACATAAACAACCTTGTTATTCAAGTTGGTCAAGTGCTTCCAGGGTTCAAGATTGATCTGCCCATGCGGTACTGGGGAGTGAGGGATTGGAGAGGATGTGGGGACACAAGAAGTGGGTCAGTTTGAGCCTTCAAGGTCTCATTGCTAGGCTGGGGCTTGCAAAATAAAAGGAGGGGCCCCAGGGTGTTGTCACCCCTGGAAAAAGCCTGGAAACTGCTTGAGAGGGGGGCACGGACAACAAAGATGGAAGGGACCCACAAGGAAGGTAGTTGGAGAAATCAAAAGTAATTTCTGAGCGCCTGGCTGGCTCAGTTGGTAGAGCATGAGACTCTTGATCTCAGGGCGGTGAGTTCAAGCCTCAAGTTGGGCATGGAGCCTACTTTAAAAAAGGAATTTCTGTTTCCTAGTAGAAACAGGCCAAGTCCCAGCTGAGCAGGTCCCTTGAGCACCAAGGAAGGGCGAGCACAGTGCTGAGGCACAGGAAGGGGGCATCACAGCCAGCCAGCTGGAAGAAAATTGGATTCATTTGGGGAGTAGGATGAGAATTTGGGAATGGTTTTGGAGCAGGTCTTTACTGGCAGGAAAGTAAACTGGTCGGCAACTAGGGGTCTGTGCAGAGAAGGGCTGTGGGGCCAGGGCGCTGCCGCAGCGAGGGTGTGGGGCAACAGCACAGGGAACAGGCCCCGCGGAGCACTGTGCACTAAGGAGACTCAGCCTGGCTCAGAGCAGGTCCAGGCCCAGCAGCCCCAGATGCTAGCCACGTCCAGAGACCAGCTTCTTGGAGGGTGGGTGACCCTGCAGAGGCACAGCCTTGGAAGGGAGCCCTGAGGACGGGAGCTCGGGAGAGACGAGGGAGCCACCAGACACTACTGAAATAGAACGTACAAAAGACCAAAAGGAGAAACTGGAAAATACTGAGAAATTTCAAGTTTTCTATATTCCCACTACATCTGTGTAGGCACACTTGGGTGTTTTCCTGATCTTTTTTCTCACTTTGAAGCATGGCAGCTATGGGAGATGAACACTGTAATGTCGTCTGGGGGCAGGGGAGGGCAATGCCCCCCCACTAAGATTGTCCCTCCAGGGCTGGGTCTGCTGTGGCTCAGAATGTCCTCCAAGACAGCTCGGCCTTCCCCAAAACCAGGCTCTCGGTAGCACCCTACAGCTGTCCAGGCCTCTGACCTGCTTCCTTGGTCCTCAGACCAGAACACCCAGTCCCTCTCCACCAGCCCACTGCCCAGGGAGGCCCAGGCATCCTCTGAAATAGCGCAAAGCCCTGGGCCCCTTTTGCTTAAAGAACAAAGCAGGAACCAGTCGCCTCCGCAAGAGTAGGAGGCAGCCGCTGGAGGAAGCAGGAATTTTTATTCTCATTTGAGAGTATAAATTGGATGAAGGCATTCCCGGCCCAGAAAAGTAAAGCAACCTGCTCGAGGTCACACAGCAAATCAGTGCTGGGGCTGGGGCATGAGCAGTGGACTGGGGACAGTCCCATACCCGCCCGGCCGTGAAGATGAGTGGGTGGTGGTGTCAAGTCCCAGGTGCAGAGGCTCCCATTTTACAGGTTAGGTCACAGCTGTGAATCCTAACCCATATGTGGCCCCGAATGGGAGGGAGGTCTCCAGTGACCTGGCAGCTGTGTCACAGGGAGACCTCCTACCACTGGCCGTTATCAGGAGTCGGTGGGGGATGCTTGTGTGCTCTGCCACCTCGGGCCCAGGACTACAGTTCCCAGAGGCCCCTGCTCTAGCCTGGCAGCCCCTAGCCAAAACTGGCCTGTAATCTGACTACCAACCCTCTCAAAAGGTCACTACAGAGCTCCTTGAAGGACAGCAACAGGGGCAACTCCGGGAGGCTCGACTTCAGTGGGGGTGGGGGGAGCAGGAGCCCTGTCCCAGGCGACCTCCTCCATACCACACCCCGGAACCCAGTGTCCTGGTCCCCCTTCTCTCAGGCGCCCAGTGTCATTTGCTGGCTGCTACTCTTCTGTTCAGATGACCCTCAGCTCCTGGCCCTTAAGCCTGCATGGGGGTGTCGTGGTCCCCAGTGCCACCGCATAGGACCTCCCCTCCCCTGGGGTGCAGGCCTCCCCCCTTCCCTGGGGAGGGCCACCATGGAAGCTTGGCCAGAGGTCTTCTGGATTGGAACTGGCAGTCTTTGGGCAAATGTCTAAAACAGCAGCCAGGCTGCTCCGAGGATGGCTTAGCCTCCTGCCGCCTATCCCCCCGACAGCCCTCCTTGGCTTCTCCGGGAGCCCCGAACGAGGCCGCAACCTGGCCTCACTCTTCCTCCACAACCCAAAGAAAGGACCTGATCAAGGCAACCTCTTGGCCAAAGGCACGGCCCCCGAGCTCCAGGGAAGCCTCAGGCCTCTCAGGGGTGACTGAGGCAGCCGTACCCTGTCTCTGACCCCGCAAGAGGCAGAGGCGAGCATAGCGGACCCCAGTGTGCGAGGCCTGCAGGAAGTGGGTCAGCACAGGGCTGTGAATGAGCCAGGCTGGGCCCGCTCT